ACTAAATGAAAAATGAAGTCACCCTACCAGAATCACTGTCAACTTTAACAAGTTTATTAATGCAACAGTATTTCAAAAACACTTACAGTAAATATAATTGCATCTCAAGACTGCAATACTGAAAATCATTTTATTTTCCTATTCCCAAATAGATAATGCATATACTTATAAAGCTAAGATTCTCTCTTCATTTAAATTTTGAATATCACTTTGCTTATGCAGCCCACTCCAATTATGTACTTATTATGGGTCACTTAAAATACAGAAATTTAATATTTAAACAATATCCATCTTTATCAATTCAGAAGTTAACAATCCACTTATCTGGTCTCTATCATTCTCTAACGCTTCCTGAAGGTTTTTTTTTTCCAAGATACATTTAAAATCTTCTGTTTAACAAAAAAGATTAATTATAGTTAAAAAATAAACAGTCTTAACATTATATATTAATTTGAAGGGGTCAGAAAATTTCAATAATAATTTATTAAAAGTAATAAAATACATGAAGTACAAAATACACATTTATTAAAAATTTCACTAAGCTACTCCAACAAAATACATATTTTTATAAATTCTTAGGGACAAACATTTAAATCACTTATTCAAGAAATGTATATTTGATAAGAAATGCTATAGTAGCAAACACAGAAATAAATTTCAATGTAGAAAGCTCTTATTGTTAGAAAGAAGCCAAGTAGTGCAAAGAAAGTTGCAGTACCTAAAACCCAACAGCTAAAACTGAAAAGCAAATTTCACTTCATTTTTTCTTTCCCCATTTTGTGATAAAGAACCTATTTGATAGTGTTGTGATAACAGATGGCTAAAACAGGAGAAAAAAAAAACACAAAGACAAAATAAAAAGTTGAAAGAGTCTACTGTAAGTACTATTGTCATTCCAAACAGGAACGACAAACACTAACTGAGACAAGATGTATGGTCACCTCCACCATAACTGATAAACTAATCATGAGTTGTTTTACTTAACTAAACATACACACACACACAAACACACACACGTGCACAAGTGCACACATAGTGTATTCAAACAGTAAATATATTTTTATATTAACATAGTTGTAGATTTCTACAGCTCAGTTCTTAAGCTAAAGGATAAAATCTTTATTCCTTTTATATCTGTAAATTACAGTATTAACACCATAAAAATCAAATCCAGTTTGATATCAGTTAACTAACCCTAGGATGGGAATCACACTCAAAAAGAGCTGCTCAAAAAAAAGCCCAAGATGCCTTATTTTAAATAACATGTATCAAAATACTTTATGCAACAGACATTTGAAAATTTTAACAAAGTTAGATAAAAACTCCTATCTTAATTCAAAGGAATATCTCACAAAACAAGTTTAGCTTACCAAAACTCCATCATAAGATCCTGCTTCACTTGTCAGAAATGCAAACATGACACACAAATACGGGTTGTTTAGTTGTAATCGCAGTGTGCTACACATTTCTCTCCAAAGGGAGTTCTTCTCATCCGTATAACCCGATAAAGCCATTGCTACCACATTGAGATTCAGATCTCCTGCATATTAAAAACAGCCAGCTAATCAAAGTGATCGAAAGCTTAATATCTCTTCTACATTTCTTAAAACATAAATAGAAATCAGAGGGTGACTTTTACCCTCAGAAAAATGAGCCCAGAGAATAAGGGTTTTGGGTTGCTTTGCCTATGGATTAGCCATTCTTTTATTTCTTTACTTTCTTAATAAACTTGCACCTTACTCAAAAAAAAAAAAAAAAAAAAAAGGCTTTTGGGTTTTGATTCAGATTGGAAAATTTGGCAAAGACAATCAGCAAAACATTTTCTGTTCTTAGAAAACTCATGCCCATGTGTGCAAACTCTGTGCAGGTGTGCAGAAAAGCAGATCTTTTAATTTTCAAGTTCTCATTCCAGGCAGGTTCTTACATATGTTATTCCTATATATGTTCCTATATATGTATGTTATTGCTTACTAAATGAAGAAAAGTGAAGTCACCCTACCAGAATCACTGTCAACTTTAACAAGTTTATTAATGCAACAGTATTTCAAAAACACTTACAGTAAATATTATTGCGTCTCAAGACTGCAATACTGAAAATCATTTTATTTTTCTATTCCAATAGATAATGCATATACTTATAAAGCTAAGATTCTCTCTTCATTTAAATTTTGAATATCACTTTGCTTATCCAACCCACTCCAATTATGTCTGCTGCTTTCCACCAAGTGGCAATGCAAAGTGTGGGAAGCAATATTTCAACATTTTAATTATAGTATTACACTTATAATTTTTCCAGGACAAAATGAACTATAAGAATTACCACAGAACTGCATTTAGACACATTTGCAACAAAGCATTTGTTATCAATAGTCTATTAAACATTTGTTCTTAGCAGTTTCAATGCATGCTGATAAGCTGCTAATCGGGCCTTCAGCACTACAGCTGCCTAGTCTTCTAAGTTCAGCTTCAAAAGAGAAAAGTAAATTTTCTTTTAACTTTCACTCTTAAGTATTTTCTACATTATAGAAGTTTTCTTATTCTATTTCTTCATTCTAATCTTTTGATTTCTTTTCCAAACAAAGCAGTGTTTCCCACTTTATGTTCTTAACAGCTTTATATTCCTCATTTCTGTAAACATTTTCCCAAGTTATTTCATGCTTGCTTCCTTTACCTAATATATTAAATTAGATTTAAGGTCTTTTAAAATAAAAATAAAACTAGCAAAGAGATTATCTTAGAATAATTTACTTCTAAATGGAAAGGAATGTTTGACTCAGAGACGTCTTCTCTTCAGTTCTTAAAATCACTGGAAAGATACACTTTCCTTATTGTTAGTATGGGTGTTTAAATCAACCACCAAATTTTCCAGATACACAAGATAGGAAGGTATTACCCTTTCAAGTTACAGCAAAATTATAATTAGAAATGGCTTTAAATATCAATTCTTTTTTCCATCATCACATATTTTCTTCTGTACTCTTAAATGGGGAAGAGTTTTGTTAGAGCAAAGGTAAAGAAAAAGATATCAATCTGAGCAAAACATTAACTTTTCAAACTTTTAGACTGCAAAAAAATATATTACTGTGAATTTCATGTTTTCCTCTATGCTACAGTTGAACTATAATGGTTTTAAAATTGGCCAGCAAGTAAGAATTCAGTATTCTGAATATTCAGAAAAATTTTTTTAGGTGTACTAAAACCCAACAGCTACATATATTTTAGTTATTTTCAATTGAAATATTCCTGATAAGAAAAAAAAAAACACAAGGTTTTGGAATACGATTTGTTTCTCTGAGGATTCTCTGGCAAAATGCCAGAGTAAAAAACCTTATTTCTTTCTTTTCAAAAAATACTAAATGAAAACTATATTTTAATCGCCAGACTCAAGAAGCATTTTTGAAGATCAAAGTATGCTTTTTATAAGAATTTGTATTAGCCTACATAAACGTGTCATTCAGAGATTCCTAAAGGTCAAACCACCATCCAAAAAAATATAAACTAAAACACACTCAAATATGTATCATAAAAATACCTGCAGGCTAAAGTAATCCTAATCTTTAAGGAAATATATTTTTTAAAATGTATGTGAACTATCTTTAAAAGAGAAGACATTGAAAATGGACACAGTTGAGGACTCCTTACAATATTATACTGACATTTAAGACACGCCTTTGTTTTTACAGATCTAAACCAAGGCATAAGGGATGAGCTAAGTATTTACTATTATAGATATATTACCGTGTTTTCTCTTCCAACAAAAATTAAATATTAAGTGATTAGATATTTGAAAATTATTAGCCTCTTTAAGAGATTCTATGAACTGCTAACATCTCAGATGATAATATCTTAGATTATAACCTAATACCTTTTTCAGAAGATGCCCCTTCATTCAGGATTTGGATTGCTCGGCGAATATCCAAGTTGAACAATGCCACAGCAGCAGCTCTCTCCCATTCCCCTTCTTGTACAAGGGAGTTCAAAAATGGCCCCACATCTACATCCGTTCCTTTCTTTATCCACCCACAAAGTTGTAAAGCTAAGATTCTCTCTTCATTTAAATTTTGAATATCACTTTGCTTATCCAACCCACTCCAATTATGTCTGCTGCTTTCCACCATTCCTAAAAACAAAAAACATTTTTATATTGTTTTGTTATTTTGAAATATATTTTGAAAATAAGTCAGTTTTACAGAGAACTATTTCGACACATTTAGAATATTTAACTTCTTGACCACAATTTTATGATAGTGTAAATATGAAATATGCCCCAAATATAACATATTTTGCATGTTTTTAAATACAATAGCTCCTTGAGTTACCAAAGAACTACTGAAATAAGAGCAAATGCTCAGATGAACTGACTTACCGCTTCAGAGAAGGTTCCCTGGCTACCTAAACTAAATTAGATACACCTGTTATTATCTAATTCCCCACTCATTATTTCCTCTATTTCCTTTAGCACTTTACATGTGCTCCCATGTAGTTATTAATTTATTTTTCAGTCTTATCTCTTCTCCCACTAGCACGTAAGCTCCAAAAGGGCAAGTGTCTTGTCTGTTTTATTCACAAGGTACCCCTACTGTCTGAAATCAAGTAAAGTACTCTTTCTTCTTTCTCTGTATATTAAAAAACAAGATTATAGACTTGAAAGTACATTGAAAGTTTAAGGTAAGTAATAACTTTAACATACAATGTGAATAACTTGAAGGCTTTTTTTCCCCTTACTAATTCAGAAAATCTCATTTATCATTCTTTTTTCAGAACAAAACATTGCTATTCTTGTAGCATTATTTACATTGCAATGAAGGCAGTTGATCCTAATGACAGGGTAATTTCACTTAGAATGATACTTAGTGCCAAATGACGTCAAAACAAATAAAGGTGACACTTAAGAACTGTAATAACTAATTCTTAAATGTCCTAAAAAGTTTTACCATCAAAATTGTCATTACCTAATTATGTTTTCTAACAAAAAGGATTTTCAGAATAAATTACAAATTAGGCAACATGAATGTCCAACATTACCAACTTTTTATTTTTTGTAGTAATTTACATTTTATAATTTATAGTAATTATATATTTATATGTTTACATCTAATACTGCAATTATACATCTGTAAATAACTAGATCAACAAAACAGTTTCTAGAATTCCTCATTCAACTTGTTGGTTGTAGGCACAACTGTTAAGAAGGGCTCTATTCCTGTCCCCCTGGTAACCACACTCTTGTGTCATCCCATCCCCTTGAGTACAGGTAGAATCTACAACTTGTCTCAAGATAAAGAATATAGCAGAGATGAAAGCATTTTGCAGATATAATTAAGGCCCTTACTCAGTTCACTGAGTGAATCAAGGGAACATTATCCTGTGTGGGCCTGACCTAACCAAGTAAGTCCTTTGAAAGAAGGTCTAGAGGTAAGAGAGAGGCAGCACAAGACACATCTCCTGCTGGTCTTGAAGAAGTAAAAGCTGCCATGCTGTGAGAGGGTCTATGAGAAGGCCACGTGGCAAGGAAGTGTGAACAGCCTCTAGGGAGCTGACAGCAGCCTCTGGCCATCAGCCAGCAAGAAAATGGTTACCTCAGTCCTACAGCTGCAAGGAACTGAATCCTGCCAACAATTCCATGAACTTGGAAGAGCACTCTGATCTCTAGAAAGAAATACAGTTTGGCTGATACCTTCTGGTTAGCCTTTCTGAAACTCTGAATAGAGGACTCAGCTAAGGTGTGCCCAGACTCCTGACCCATGGAAATGATGAGACAGTAAATGAATGAAAATACACCCTCCAAAGTTAATTTAGCTGTAGTCATTCTGGTCAAGGAATTAAACATATAAACAAACCCAAGCAAAGATAAGAAAATATTAAAAACTTAATTGTCATTTGCAAGTTAAATTACATAAAATTTTCCTTTTTTTTTTTTTTTGAGATGGAGTTTTGTTCTGTCACCCTGGCTGGAGTGCAGTGGCATGATCTCAGCTCACTGCAACTTCCATCTCCCAGGTTCAACCAATTCTCCTGTGTCAGCCTCCCAAGCAGCTGGGACTACAGGTGCACACCACTCCGCCAGGCTAATTTGTTTTTAGTAGAGACCAGGTTTCACCACGTTAGCCAGGCTGGTCTCAAACTTCCGACCTCAGGTGATCTACCCACCTTGGCCTCCCAAAGTGCTGGGATTACAGGCATGAGCCACCGCGCCTGGCCTATTTTTACTCTTTCCAAGTATTCAGACTAAATGATTTTTAAGAAAAATTTTAGGCCAGGTGTGGTGGCTCATGCCTGTAATCCCAGCACTTTGAGACACCGAGGCGGGTAGATCACCTGAGGTCGGAAGTTCGAAACCGGCCTGGCCAACATGGTGAAACTTGGTCTCTACTAAAAACACAAAAATTAGCCAGATGTGGTGGTATCTGTAGTCCCAGCTACTCAGGGGGCTGAAGCAGGAAAATCACTTGAACCTAGGAGGTAGAGGTTGCAGTGAGCTGAGATCACCCAAGCCTGGGTACAGAGATTCTGTCTCTTAAAAAAAAAAAAAAAAAAAAAAAAGGTAAGATAGTACATAGTAAAGGTCTAAACTCTCCGTTATACTTAATTCATACTTGTAAAAACCTTGTATGATTATCTAATTTTAGGCTGTGACAAGTCTAAAGTATTATGCATGTTAGTACATATTTTATATCTGATTTATGAAAAAGTTTCAAGATGTGTTATTTGTAAAATTTTGGAAATTCAAAAAATAGTTAATTATACTTGAAGTTACTTATTTTTTAAACTGACCATTGGAAACTATTGCCAATTCAGGTCAAGAAGTTAAGAGGAAACTTCCAAAAAGAAGTTTCCTTACTTTAAGAGCACTTTCTACCCACTAAAAAGCAGCAGCATGCTACTTTATTTGCAACCATGAGGAGAGTCAGCCTAGAAAAAAAATCACTTTTAGCTTATGAAAGTGGATCTTTATAATGTGAAAACTCATAACGATTAATGATAAAGTTAATAAAACACTTACTTAAAAATTAAAACATTCATTCTGAATAAAAAATTTTTAATAAAACACATTTGAAAATCAAAACATTCATTCTATATAACATTTAAATTGTCAGGGCAGAATTCAGTCATTAAATTTCAGGTAGAGGCTGAGATGTATTATAAGGTATTTATTTTCACATCTCTCCTATAAAATTTTGGATTCAAAGCTGGTATTTAGCGATAATAAAATTTTAAAACAGGTGAGCAAAAATCAGCAATTTATTTTTCAAGTGATTCCTTACAGCTTAATAATATAATAATATTCTAATTTCTTTAGAGTTTTTATAGAAATCATGTCATGGAATAGAATAGAGAAAAATACAGTCGCATGTTGATTAACAGTAGGGATACCATCTGAGAAATGTGTTGTTAGGCAATTTCGTTGTTGTGTGAACATCACAGAGTGTACTTACACAAACCAAGATGGTATAGCCTACTACATACCTGGGCTACATGGTATAGCCTATTGCTCCTAGGATATAAACCTTTAAAGCAAGCCTGTCTAACCCACAGCCCAGGAAAGCTTTGAATGTGGCCCAACAGAAATGTGTAAACTTTCTTAAAACATTGCGAGATTTTGAAGAAGGGACTTTTTAAAAACTTTTTTTATTTTTTAGCTCATCAGCTATCATTAGTGTATCGTGTGTGGCACAAGACAATCCTTCCAATGTGGCCCAGGGAAGACAAAAGATTGGACACCTCCACTTTATAGCAAGTTACTGTACTGAATACTGCAGGTAACTGTAACACAATGATAAGTATTTGTGTACCTAAACACAGAAAAGGTAAAGTTAAAAATACAGTATTAAATCTTATGGGGCCACCATCATATATGCAGTCAATTGTTAACATTAATGTCATTACGCAATGCATGACTGAATATGAATTTAAAGAAGTCACTGCGAGGAGGTGAAAATATTAATATATTCTGCATGTTAAGAACATGGTTATTGTATCATATTTTTTTTTGCTTAGAGACCTTTTTATTGATTACTATGCTACAGTGGATGATTAGGATTATCAAATAAGCAATATGACGTCAGTGTGGGTTTTAACGTACAGTTATGAGTTTAACATATAAATTTTTAATATGGCTCTGAAAATGAAGTAAAATATATTTATGCATGTCATGCAACGCTAAATAAAATTGTATGCCCTAAATTTGAGATTGTCCTATAAATAATAGGAAATGTTTTATTGATGGCTGCAAGGAAAATAAGTTTATTTAAACATTAAAAATCAGGATTCAGGCCAGGCTCACGCTTGTAACCCCAGCACTTTGGGAGCCCAACGCAGTCAGATCACTTGAGGTCAGGACTTTGAGACCAGCTTGGCCACTGGGGCAAAACCCTGTCTCTACAAAAAATACAAAAATTAGCTGGTATAATGGCATGTGGCTGTAATCCCAGCTACTTGGGAGGCTGAGGCACGAAAACCACTTGAACCCAGGAGGTGGAGGTTGCAGTGAACCAAGGTTGTGCTACTGCACTCCAGCCTGAGTAACAGAGAAAGAGATTCTTATCTCAAAAAAAAAAAAAAGGAAAATTAAGATTTAAACATTTCTTTCAAATCAGCAAACCGACACTATGCTCTTTGTAGCTATTAATCTGTTGCATTTTAATATCTATATACAAAGCAATAACATTATCCAGTTTATAAGAAATCCTAGCTATTTTTCCCTTGAAGTCATTTTGTCTAAAAAAATTTCTCAGTTCTCTAGATTACATTTAAATCCCACCCCCCGCCCCAAAAAAAAAAACAAAAAAACAAAACAAACAAACAAAAAAACAAAACGAGAGACACAGGGTCTCTATGTAGCCCAGGCTTGCTTCAAACTCCTGGGCTCAAAGGATCCTCCTATCTCAGCCTCCTGAGTAGCTGGAGCTATAGTGCTTACTCTTTTTTTTTTTTTTAAGTAAATATAGCTATGTTGTAACAATTTTATTTTGATTTTTTAAAAATGAGTCTCTTGATTTTTAATCAGGGCTTTGGGGTCATGGGGGATTAGTCAATGTCACAGTCATAATGACGCACTTATTCAGGGAAAACTTTAATTTTCTTTGTCTTCTTCAAAAACAGCTGCTGGAACACCTCAAATTAAGCAATGTTCATCTAAAACACCTTTACTGAAACTTGATTCCTTGGGCCAAAGGAAGGTCCTTACTGTAGCTGATAGTACAAGTAGACCTTCTCATGTACTGTTTCCAGGCATCACTGCTAGACTCCCTGCCACCACCAGTGTGCTTTTCTCCTCCAAAGGCACCTCCAATCTCAGCCCCACTTGTTGGAATGTTGACGTTTACAATGCCACAGTCTGATCCTTTAGGTCTGAGCCAGTGCAAGATTCTGCCCAGATCTTTGGTAAAGATGCTACTTGAAAGTCCCTGTTTTACTTCATTATTCCATGCAAAGACCTCTTCTTCATTGTTGAATTTAAAGACATAAAGAATCGGAGCAAAAGTCTGTGTGTGTGCAATGGATGCATTGTGGCCAAGACCTGTCACAATTGTCGGTTCTACATAATTTCCAGGGCGATCCATAACCTTGTCCTCATAGACCACTGTGCCACCTTCTTTCTTTGCTTCTTCCACTGCTCCAAGAAACATGCTCACTGCCTGCTTAGTGTGGAGTGGCCCACAGAGAACATTAGAGTCCCATGGGTTCCCAACTTGGATCTGTGCATAGGCCTTTTTAAGTCTGTTTACAACCTCATCATGGATGCTTTCATGCACAAACAGTTACCTCGCAGTGGTACACCTCTGGCCAGCTGTTCCCACAGCAGCGAAGAGAGCTGATGGAACAACTAAGTTGAGGTCTGCATCTTCAAAGGCAATAATGGCATTATTTCCTCCAAGTTCCAACAAACTTCTCCCAAACCTCTCCTGCACCATCAGAGCCACCTGTTTTCCCACCTGAGTGCTCCCAGTGAAGGACAGCAGGTTCACTCGTTCATCTTTGGCCATTGCTGTGCCACTATCTGCTCACCACAAGTCAAGGAACAAACTGCACCAGGCAGCCTGTTGTCCTCCAGAACCTTGGCTATTATCTTTGTGACAGCCACACTAATCAGGGAAGTTATTGGAGCTCCTTTCCAGAGGCAGACATTTCCACAGATCAAGGCGATGGTGTTGTTCCAGCCATACGCTGCCACAGGGAAACTGAATGCAGGGATGATTCCAACCAGGCCTACAGGATTCCACTGCTCAATCAGTGCATGGCAAGGTCTTTCAGAAGGCAAGATAGGTCCTCCAATCATCCGTGATAAACCAACAGCATAGTCACAGATATCCACATACTCCTGAACTACTCCCACACCTTCCACTAAGATTTTCCCCATCTCCAAAGACACCAAGCTTCCTAGTACTTGGATCTCCCGCAAGTCATCGCCAATCTGTCTTACTATTTCTCCTTGTTCTGGAGCAGGAATATCTGCCCAGATTTTCCATGCTTCTCTTGCTTTTACAGTGTCTTCATAGTCTGCAACACTGGCCTGACGGACTCTTGCTACAGGCTCGTTGTTAGCAGGACAGTAAGTGATAATCACCTCTCCCCAGCCTCCCCAGCTTCCATTATACACACCCTCATTTTCCTCTCGGAGGCCCAGCTCTTTCAGCCACGCATACTGGGGCTGATTGATCAGGAGAGTGGACATGAAGGCGGCAGGCCTGCTCCAAGGATCAGGGAGCTTGTTGGCCTTTGCAGTGTGCACACACAGCATATGGGGGAGGCGCCACATACTGAGCCTAGAACTTGGGGTAGAGCTTACTCTTTAAGGATTAAAAATATTCATGATGGATGAAAAGCAGGCCAATATTTTTTATACAACTTTCTGCCATCTTAAAAAAAAAAAGGAATTATACCTACTAATAACACTGTGAACTTGCTATACAGGACTGTAGAAGAGATTTCCTCAGAGCATGCATTTTCCTCATCCTGGGTTAATTTCAGCCCTTAGCCCATTCAACAAACTAGCCTCTCTCAGTTCCTTTGCTCCTTATCTCCAGTAGTCTACACCTCCAAGACTTTAGCTACTCCTTTCACAGCCATACTCGAAACTGTCCTCCTTCCAAAGAGCTAGTGTCTAACCCCATGTAGCCTTCCAAAAATCTCAATTTCTTATAGTTTTCACAATCTCACAGTGTCTTCACCCCTATTATTTTTACTTATCAGTCTTATCCTGTCTTCATTTTTCATTTCTATCCAAATAAGATCCCAAGGGTCAAGTGAATCACTCTCTTGCCAATATAGTTAATTATCTTGCCCTGCTGTCCTTTATTCTACCTTTTGATAAAATAATATTAACCAGTAATCTTCCCATGTTTCTCTCCTTCCTCGGTGCCCATGGGTAACACCCCCCATGGGCACCGAGGAAGGAGAACTGTCCAGACCCCCAGGCACAAGCAGTGCCTGAAGAGTATCTTAGTTTATAGTATTATTGCTCAGCGGTTTCCTTTATATAATCCTGCATAATCACATATTAGTTTATAGAATTAGTGCTTGAAGTATAACTTACTGCTTATATATAGTTTACATAATCATACTTAATACTTATATCTACTTAGTTCTATATAATCTTTGTGTATAATCATATAGGTATTGTAGTCAGAGCTGTACTGACACATTTAGTGCTGATTTATATAATCCTTCCATATAACCATATAGTAGTATGTAGTAGGAGGAATGCCTAGAACAGTCACACAGCAGAAGCAGTAGATGGGAAAACAGCCAGACCAGAACAAGAACCAAAGAACCAGGCGTCCCTGCCTGAAAGGGCATATGCTGTGTGGCAGGCTTGGAGCAAGTGCCTCTCCTACTGATAAAGGAGTTGTAGTATCCTGTGGAAAGTAGGCCTCGGGCCTGAGATCCTGGAAGTAACCAAGGGAGAAGAACCCCTCTGGGAGGGAGAAGAACCCCTCTGGTGTGACCAGTCACGGCGGCTATACACCCTGTCAGTCTTTTCTCACTTCTGTGTTGGCTCAAATCATCCTCCCATAAATATCTTAAGAGCATAAGCCTGTCAGCTCCCACTACATTAAGCTTACAGTATCCTCCTATTAGAAATCCTTTGAAGTCTCCAGCCCTCAGATAAGAAGTGTTGCACATGATACCTGTTGCATACAGCCCACCTCCTTGCCTCGGTGGCCTAATGGGGGTGGACCCCTCTTCTGTATACGACCCTCTACTACTGCGCACAGCCCACCTCTCCGCCCAAGTGATGTAATGGGGTGGCCCCCTCACTTGTAACTCATGTGATTATGTACGCCCTATTACTAAGCCTATAGATGATGACCTCACTCATGACCCTGCCCCCTGCTTGTACCTAATAAATACAGATGCTCTTGGGCATGTGAGGGGCTGCCACTGATCTCCACTCACAGGTGGTATGGCTCCCCAAGTCCAGATGCTGTTCACCAGTTCTTCAGTGTCCTGTCTCTTTACTTCTCGGATCCTGCACCTCAACACAGCATAAGGGATACCCCATGACCCTGTGGGGCCTCCACAGCCCTACATTTCTCCTCTTCTCCATATGCTCTTCCTACAAGCTCCCTGTTACTTCTCAACAGGAGTTATAAAATGAGAAATCCCTCAGCCTTTGGTCATTGAACCTTAAACAACCTGTATACGGCATCCTTTCCTCTGGCAAACGTGGAGGTGTGCACCCTTGTATCTAAAGCTAAATAAACCTGTGCTCTGGATCCCATTCCCTCCTATTTCTAGAAGTTTTGCTTCATTCCCTTCTCTCTGCATCTTTAACCTCTTTCTGTGGGTTTCTTCCAATCAGCATTTAAACATGCTTAAATGAATCCCATGTTGAAAAGAAAAATAAAGCAACACAAAGCTCCTGGTTCCAGATTTGCCTCCTCGTATGAATATCATTTCCTCTTTATATAGTCAAATTTCTTGAAAAAAGTATTTATAATTGATGACTTCATTTCCTCAACCCACTCTGAATTTCTAATCTAACTGCTATTGGCTATCCATACAACCAGTGAAGACCTTCTCCTATTCCTAAAATCAGTGTGTCCTTTTTAGTTCTTATTTGGCTGGATCTGAAACATGGAGCACTGCACAATTGACCTCTCTTCCCTCATCCATGTGAATACATATTATGTTGGTGCAAAAGTGATTTGCGGTTTTTGTCATACAGATCTTTCTCCTACATCTCTCGACAATTCTCCTCAGCCTCCTTTAAGCCACCTCTTTCTGTTCTTACTCTGAACAATTCCATCTACTCCATCAAATGTCATTTATTTCAAACATACATTATATTCCTCCCTTGAGCTTTGGACTCATATCCTATTGCCCAAGGGACATCTGTACCTAAGTATCTTGATTTCAACTTGCTCCAAAATAAACGCAAATACTCTTCCGATGTTGTTTCTAATTAACACACTTAAAATTAACTAGTTTCCCAAACTAAATATGTGTGTGCTATCTTTGACTTTTCCATCTTCTCCAACCCCTTTATCTACTTAATCATGACTTAATCATTAAATTTTGTCCTATTCTCTAATGTATCCACATTTCTCTAGCCCCTCTGCTACTAACTTTGGTAAGGATACCATCACGTCTTGCCTCCTTACAGCAGGCTTCTATCTGATATCCCTACTATCACTCTTGATCCGCATTTTTAAAACACAAATCTGTCAAAATCCATCCATATCCCTGCCTTACAAGATGAATCTCCCTAAATTCTTAGCATGATTTCTAAGTCTTTCCTGAGTTAGCTTATTGCTTAGCTTTCTAGCCTCCACTCTTTCCTCACTTGCTCTCTCATGCTGTCTTCCAGGCATAATAATGTGCTATGCTCTCTACCCTCTGGGCCCACTGCATATGCTGCTTCCTGCCTGGAACTTGTTTTTGACTGTACCTCCTCTGAGAAACCTCTCATCCCTGCAACCAGATTAGGAATCCTTCTTGTATATAACCATTTGTTCTTCCCTATGTTATAACTGCCTGTTTACTTGTCTATATTCTAAATTAGAATGTAAACTCCCCAAGAGCAGAGACAACTTTGAACCTGCTCAATCTCCATGAGGGAAGAGATTTATATAACTTCTTGAGAGTTATGTCTCTAGTTCCTAGGATAACTCCTGGCATACAGGGAGCATGTAATAAATACTTGCTGAATGAATGAGCTTACTTCATATTGTAGTTGTAAAAATTAAAGTAACATGGGAAAAGAAACTAATTTATAGCAAGCACTTATATATATACATACTATTTGTTACCAAAATTAAAATCTAGCTGTGTGCTGTAATAAACTTGTGTATTAGGTTACTGTAGACAAGATGGCTCGATGTGTTGGCTTACCATGTGATGAATTATTAGAGACACAATTAGAGGAAAAGGTATGGCCAAGTAGAACAGAAGACTGAAATCTAAGAGTGTCATATTTGACAGTATTTCTCTACTTTTCACCTTTAGATAGTAGATACAAAAATATCTATACCAAACAAAACAAAAAGCTGAAAATCTAGCAATGAGAGCAGCGAGAGAATGATGAATGAAGAAATCTTTCCAACAGTAGCCTTTCTTTAGTCTGGGTAAAGACTATTTTGACTCAAGGGTGGGATACTCAGTTTGTCTCTAGTGCACCAGAAACATAAAGATATTACATTTTCCCCTTTTGCTTTTCATCAAAGGTTGGCTTTTCCTTAAAATATATCAAACTACAACAAACACAATAACTAACCTCTAAATAACTGAGTACAGTGTGTCCTGATCTACTATACAGCTAAGACGCTATAAATCCTATAAACTTGGTGTTTAATTCTTTGCAGCAATGGACAATGGCTCTAAAATCATGAACCATGGTACCAGGTTTATTTGTGGGCATAAAACACTATTTGTTCCCTTTTACCCATGTTAATAAAAACAGCAGCTTCTAACTAAACTTATTCATTTTACTATTTATAATAAAGGTCACTTTTTTTGGTGGAGGACTAATACAAAAACAAGAAAATCAAATTGATCAGTAAGTAGTCTACTGTATCTTTCAGTAAAGTGGACCAAAGTAATTTGAACGACCTTAAAAAAACACAATAACAGTTTAACTAAAACACTTAACCTACTCTAAAAAATTTTATTATTTTGTACTTTGTTTGTATGGTATTGATACAAGTTCTGTAAAAGTTCAAATTTACTGCTTCTATTACTGCTCTTTGACCAAATAATGTTAACTACTTTTCTAATAGCTTGACTTGGGCCCAAATGTGCCTTACGAAAAGCTGGAAAATAAATCCTAGGTCACAGGTTGAGCATCCCAAATCTGAAAACTGAAATCCAAAAGGCTTCAAAATCTGAAACTTTCTGAATGCTAAGATGATATTCAAAGGAAATGCTCATTGGAGCATTTTGGATTTCAGAATAGGGCTCAGTCTCAAAGTACGTAATATAAATATTTGAAAATCTGAAAATATTTGAAACACTTCTGGTCCCAAGCCATTTTGGATAAGGTATACTCAACTTGCAATTCTAATATAACCCATTATTCAATTCCAGTAAAAGAAAAGGAACAACTGTTTAAAGCAGTCATAAAAAAAAGTTTGGTTTTTGTCACCTTTACTTTATTCTTTAATAGTTTACCATACCAATGTCAATCCTACATTAACTCACACATTAATAAATTCATTCACTAATTCACCAAGGACTATTTCAGGTATAATTCTTCCCAGGCCATATTTCATATCATAGTCCTTGCTGTTAGACAGCTCAATGAAAGTATTTGGGGACTGAAACAAAAAGGAGTCTCCTTCAATTAGAGATCTTTTAATCTAGTTTTCAAAAGACAAAATGCTGTGATAAAATCTGAACTAAAAATCAGTAATCTATAAATTGTCTAGCATAAAACCTCTCAAACTGGGTTTTCAGAAAAATAATACTGAATAAATGTGTGAATAGATTTAAGAAAGTCAACATCACTTCAGAGAATTAAGACTTCCTGCAAAAAGAGTTTTGGATATAAATACAATTATGCATTTAACTCAACAATTCACTGAAATACCTAATCAAAAAACAAAAAAAGAATACTTAGGTACATGATCCTGAAATAACTAGATAATTTCTACCAAATGATAGGAGCAAAATAAAGGTATAAAAGTTATAAACATATTGGAGAAAATGAAATGGAATTTTCTTACCCAAAGATGACTTTACAATTGATTTAATTCCTGCATAAACCAACGATCCTTTGTTGCCTGGAGATTTCTGATCCATATCTTCTGTATATTGCTTCATAAGTATTTAAATGCATAGGAAATACTAGTGATGATGCGTAATAAAATATTTCAAAGCTAAACTTATTTTTATTTGGAGCCAATTCATAATAGGTGTCAGTGCAAATAAAGAGGTTCTACTCTACTGCAGAGATACTTTTCTTCCTCCTCCAGAATCTACAAAGTGGTATTTCAAGTTCAAGGGTTTAGAGCAATTTTACTTCATAATGTTAGTATTATGTAACTTGTATTTATATATAAGCCATTCAACCTATTTATAGACTGACCTTTCAGCAAACTTCAAGAATACTTTTACCTGATTCACCTCACAAAATTCACAATGCAAAGGATATAGTGCAGAGTATACCAGAGTGACTTGAGCTGTGGATCTTCATTTCCAGCTAAAACGTGGTTTCTCCACACCTGCTCTGTATCAAGTCCATACCTCGATAAAGCCCGAAGGCGCATCTTCGTTGCTATATCTTTTTCTAAAGAATTATCATTTTCTTCTTCTGTACATTCATACAAATGACGACCACAGGCCCACATTAAAGATGTAATTGGGCTCCAGGCAAGAGATATCCTTTCAAAAACAGTGAAGTCAGACATTGTTCGGTTGGAAGTTACAACTATCATTCGATTTTGACTTGTTGGATGCCATGCAAAGGAAGCAATGTAATTGTCACAAGGTTGTACACTTCTTTCAATTATTGTGGGCTCAGTTTCATCCCCAATGGGAGTGGGTGTATGCTGCATATCATATAATCTAATAATATTACTATCCCTTGTTAAAGTGGCAAGTAGTCCAGTCCTAGTGGGACACCAGGCTACTTTTGTTAAGGGTTTTGGTTGCTCAGTCAAAGTCAAAACTGGCTTCTCAAATTTTCTAAGATCCCATATTGCAACCTGACCTTCATAGAAGGAAGCAACACGATCATGGAAATATGGGTCTACTGTCACACCCTGAACAGCTTTTGTATTTACAAACATCTTTTGGCTTGTATTCCGAAGATCGAATATAGCTAGGTTACGATGCATACCAGCAAGGAGAAGTTTCTGGTCTCGTGGAAGCCAACAAAGAGAGAGACAAGCGTCATTCTGTCCTAACTCATAAAGAGGTTTTGTTACTAATAATGTTGTTTCAGTTTCACCTGCTGAAAGTCTCACTTTTTCCATGGGAACTATATCAGGAGTGTATTTGCTGCAGATATCCCATATTAGCACTGAAAAGTCAGCTCTGTGCTTATCTAAACCAGCAGCAAGCCAGTTACTATCCAGTGGATTCCAGGCAAGAGTATTACACTGTCTTGCATGTTTTGGAACAAACTCTTTTCCTATCAAATCTTTGAATTTTGAGTTATGATCTTGGCCAAGACTTGTAAGTACAACTCGACCATTTGCTTGTCCAACTGCCAGCAGACATTCAGGATCATAATTGAGATACCAGGCAACACATTTCATATAGGGTGTATCTGAATTTATTGACAGTAACGTAGCTGCAGAGTCTTCAGATAAACGTAAAGATCCAGCTTTGAGTTCTGAATTCACAGTAGATTCCACATGATAAAGACTTAGTTCTGAGTCACAAACAACAAATCTATCAACCTGGTGTGGTGCCCACAAAATATCTGGTTTGGTACCGCTCATGTTTACTGATGTGCTCAAAGGGTCCACTCAGGTCCATTCACTGAAAATATTTAAAAATAAAAAAAATTTAAAATACCAACAAAATATAATTCTTACATTGAATAAACTATTTAGAAAGTCAAAAAATTCTCTATTCAAGAAACTTCTTTTTCAGATTTGTATTTCTTCTATCTGCTATGAATTCAAGAAAATATTTATTGAAAAAAGGGAGAAAGAACAACCACTTTCAATAAAATGAGCCAGTAGGAATCTGAGACTCCCATCCTGGCTGTATTTCCCATGATCAATTATCTTAATTGCACTATTGCTAGAACCTTCAGTTTAACTTCAGGGTTATAACAACTTCAGTGTGGTAAGCAAATTATTAAGTGTTATGCCTTTGAAGGGGGGAAAACTTAAAAGCATTATGAATCATGTTCCTAAGCAATAGTTTAAAGCAGCACTGCCCCAATAAAACTTTCTGCAGTGGCAGAAATGTTCTATGTTCATGCTGTCCAATATGGTAACCACCAGCCACATGTAGCTACTGAGCACTAGAAATGTGGCTAGTTCAAATTTTAAACCTTAATTTTAACTAATTTCAATATAAATAACCATATGTGGCCATTGTAATGAACACTATAGATTTAAAGTACAATGCCATACTAAGAGCTTTATTCAGTTTTCAGTAATAAGCAGCAGCCTTGAACGGCAGAATAAACACTGGAATGTACTGAGCAAACCTGAGTTCTAGTCCTAGCTCTGCCTATATTAGTTATATGCCTCAGAAAAGTCATTGTGTGTGGGGAACCCCTTTGTTTTCTCATATACATAATGTAAGAGTTGCTTTAGATTAGTATTTCCCAAACCTCAGTCATGTAGCAACCTGTGCCATTAATATTTTGCTTTAAACTGACTCATTTTTAAAATCTGAAAATTGACTTTAATCTCTTCATAAGGTCCATGAATCATGGTATGCTATGCTAATTGTATTTTTTAACATACACTGAAATATATAACTATTAAAAACGTTTGTGTTTTATCTACGAAGCATCTTATGACCAGTGATACGCACATACATTTGGAGAAACTGAATTAAGTGATCATTAGAGGCTCTTTCAGTTTTCGGTTCTGCAAACTTTGAATAAGTGTTAAAGTAGAATTTTGAAAAAAGTAAATATTCTAGCATTAGATGCACAAACTAAATATAGCTATAGTTTAAAATGGTGTTTCAATAACTAAGGTTAACCACAAAAATTTAAATGCCTATTTCTAACTGAGGCTGGCAAAAGGAATAGTTTAGATTCAAAATAAGTGAACATACTTAAAATCTTCATTGCAATTAGTATCTGTACAACTAGTTTGTCAGTTCTCATAGCATAAAGCTATGGTTCACTTATCTCCCTATCCTTAGTGCTACATATAGAGCCTGGCATAGACTTCTAATAGACATACTAAATAGTTCAACTCAAACATAATTGCTTTTCTTTTTAATCTTGCAAGAGTTTCAGTTAGGAATTACCAGTCTAAAATTTCGTAGACTCATATAATTTAGACCAGGGGTCCCCAACCTCCAGGGCCACAGAGCAGTCCAGGTCCCTGGCCTGTTAGGAACCAGGCACACAGCAGGAGGTGAGCAGCAGGTAAGGGAGCAAAGAAGTTTCCCCTGTATTTACAGCCATTCCCTATCTCTGGCACTGCTGCCAGAGCTCTGCCTCCTGTCAGATCAGCAGCAGCATTAGTTTCTCACAGGAGGGCAAACCCTATTGTGAACTGTGCATGCAGGGGTTCTAAGTTTGTATGCTCCTTATGAGAATCTAATGACTGATGATCTGTCACTGTCTCCTACCACCCCTATGTGGGACCATCTAGTTGCAGGAAAACAAGCTCAGGGCTCCCACTGATTCTATATTATGGTGAGTTGTATAATTATTTCATTATATAGTACAATGTAAATAATAGAAATAAAGTCCACCATAAATGTAATGCGCTTGAATCATTCTGAAACCATGCCCACATCCCCTGTCAGTGAGAAAATTGTCTTCCATGAAACCAGTCCCTAGTGCCAAAAAGGTTGGGGACTACTAATTTAAAAATTTTTATACTGGTTTTATTTCCTTCTTTGGTATTTCTCAAGCCCAGGATCAATCATTTCAATTATATTCTTACTAGCACCCTCAATGTCTTGACTTCCTTGCCACTTTGGGTTTGCCTTTCCCCAATCCCAGATCAACCCAATTATTTACCATCTTGTCTCCTCACTCAGGCTTCTAAGTGCTATGACACGGAGCATAGTCTCAAGCCTCTGAAAACCGATTTCAGGAAATCAAGGTATACAACATATCTGGTATGTGGTGCTGGCTCAGCTTTTCTTTTAGTCATCTTTCCCCCATCCTTCAGAAATTCTGCTTTATAGGCTATAAGAGTAATAATTCTTTTACAATAAAAACTTGACCAGGCTATCCTTCCTTGCTTAAAATCCTCTAATGGTCTCCAGCTGCTCTTAGTATAGCGTTAAAAATCTTCAATCTAACCTATAAAACCCTACATGCTTTTGGTCTCTGCCTACTGCACACGCCTCGTGTGTGGAGTAGCAGATATTCTTGCTATCCTTTTATATAGTCCTTTTCACTTCCTAGAGTATACCCTCCTCCCCCATCACCATACCTCTGCAAATGATGCTTCCTCTTGTTAGAGCATACTTCTCTGCCTTCTGGGTAGGGAAGGCAGTTAACACCTGCTGATCCTTGACATCAACCACTCTCTATTTCCTCCTTAGTCCAGGTCAGGTTAGTCAGACACACACTGTCATTAAGTGGTATTCTTTCCCCTGAATCGTGTCTCTTCTACTGCATTATACACTCCATGAGAGCAGGTGAAGTATTTTTTTGTGTTCCATTGTACCTCTAGTCCCCAGCACAGTGCTAGGTACTTAGTAGGAAGTTAATAAATATTTGTTAAATAAATGTATGTGCTGAATGGTCCCTCTGACACTTCTCACAATTGCTATCTCCAAGTTTTACCTATTTCCTTGTGCTTCCACTTCTACTCTTCCTAGCAGAGGTTGGCTCCAGCCAAGATTATAGTGTCTTCTATCCTAACTGGTTCTAATGATGGGCAAGAGCCCCAAAGTAAGCCATCCTAACAGAGGATTACTCTAACATACTGTCTGTCATTTATTCTGTAACTATTGATTGGGCACCTTTTATGTTCTAGGCATTGTTATAAAGCTGGGAACACAGCAGTGAACATGAAGAGATGAAGTGTCTGGTCTAAAGAAAACTAGCTCTGTAGTGATAAAATTAAGTGAAACCTTAAAGAGAGTTTAAACATTTAAGTATGAGGAGGAAGAGAGGGACCTCATGTAATAGGAAGCAGCTATGACAGCAAAGAAAAGGAACAGATACTGCCAAGTAAGGGTTCACACTTGCACCCTCACAAACAAAGGAAACCTCTTAATTGAAGACATCATGAGATCTGGCCCATTTTCCCATCTCAATGAAAAATCAATGTTTAAATAAACAAATTTTTTATCTACGCTTTCGTTCCACAATCCTATTCTTTATACCAATGGTCTATGGTGAGCAATCTTGATGGCACATAGAAAAATCCATCTTACAAAGTTTTAGCGTAATTTTTAAAACTTTAATTTACATGACTCTCAATGGAGAATCATCAGCATTTCTTGATGTTATGCACCTAAAATATTTATACTGCCATTCACAAAATCTGATGACAGTAATTTATACAGAATCACAGAACTTGAGAGAAAAAGACTAGCAAATTCTTCTCATTTCATGTAGGAGTAAAGTGAAGACCAGATGTTTTGATGCTTGTCCAAGGTCTGTCAACTTCCATCCTACATTACTGCAAAGAGAAAGGATCAGCTACACAATATGCAAGATGAGGTGCAAAATAAAAATGCAGGGCCCTTATTTAAAAATTATTATTATTATTTGAGACGGAGTTTGGCTCTTGTCGCTCAGGCTAGAGTGCAGTGGTGCAATCTCGGCTCACTGCAACCTCTGCCTCCTGGGTTCAAGCGATTCTCCTGCCTCAGCCTCCTGAGTAGCTGGGACTACAAAAGCCCACCACCACCACACCCGGCTAATTTTTTGTATTTTTAGTAGAGACAGAGTTTCACCATGTTGAGCAGGCTGGTCTTGAACTCCTGACTTCAGGTGATCGGCCTGTCTCAGTCTCCCAAAGTGGTGGGATTACAGGCACGAGCCACCATGCCCAGCCGAAAAATTTTTTAAAATGTCAGGACACTGATAGCAGACTGGCCATTAAAGTAAGTTCTAGCCATTCTAAATGCTGGGCTCTGTGCTACTGCACGGGTTGCACATCAGAAGACTAGCCCTGTATAGAGAGCTGCATCTATGTCTACACTTTTAAGAGATGTATTTTTTTCACCATCTAACACACAGTATAAACAGTTCCTTGCTTGTGAACATACATCACTAAGAATTTGGTGTTAACAAAACAATCTAGAGTCAGAAATCCTACAGACACTCCCTAGCTCAGATTCTAACAAATCTTGCAATTACTCCAAAACCATGAAACGGAGATAAAATCTATCCCATTTCCATCTCACAAAGTTGTGACAATCAACTGAAATGAGCTCTTCATATCACACAGATGTTAGTATCACTACCATTCCCTTAATGAGCCCTGAAAGTTAATGTTTTTTCCAAATGCTGGAGACATTACAAAATTAGGCGTTGAAGGAGTGCGGTATGCAATAATTACAGCTTATATTTATATCCTCACCTTCAAGTTTAACAAGTCTCACTTCCCATCAGTGGTTTCTCAGCAAAGGAAAGCATTGCTGATTCTGTGTTCATTCACCAGAATATCTGGAACAGCACTGTCCAAAAGAAGTATACTGTGAGCCATATGATTTAAAAATTCCTAGTAGCCACATTTAAAAAGTAAAAATGGGTGGAATTAAGTTTAAAAATACATTTTATTTAGCCAACATATCAAGACCATTATTCTTTCAATATGTAATCAACATAAAAATTATCAGTGAGGGTTTATATATATATTTTTTGGCACCGTGTCTGAGAAATCGAATGTGTATTTTACACTTACAGAACCTCTCAATCCATAAGGCTACTGGACGGTGAAGTCCAACACACTACAATACTACTAAGTGTACAAAGTATCCAATCACATACTTTTTGATGTTGTCTTTTACTTTTCTTACCGTGGCAAATTACAACGAGGGCGGCTAAAGAGAAATTTCCACCATCAGCATCTTCAAGGAGATGCACTGCACATATCCAAATTACCCTTAAAATATACAAAAGACCTGCAAAAGCAGTCATTTGCTAAGCAATTCAGCAAAGTCCACAACATGTGTGAGGGTTTCATTCATCCGAAGAAAACAGAGCTCACCGGGAGATAGGCCGTTTAAGTAGTACAGTATTTAATAGGGTACAACTGGAACAGGGCACGTTGCAATTCCGGGTAAAGCAGGAATCTGAGTGCGACTCTCCCGCTCCAGGCACCTGACTGAACCTCAGCGGAAAGGCTAGGCCACCGCTCCCTACAAGCCTGCCGCGGCAAAGGCTGCAGCGTAGCCCCCTGCGTCCCGAGGAGGTCCCCGCGCGCCTCGCGGCCGCCCGCAACCCCCTGTAGCTCCCTGTGAGGCCCAGCCGGCCGCCAGGCACGATGACCCCACAGCGCGTAACGCACTCCCCGCCGAGACGCCCAGGCCTTTCAACTAGGCTATCTTGGGCCCTTCGCTGCACTCGCAGCGCTCCCGAGAGCGGAGGCGCAGCCCGAGTCGCACTCACTGACCTGAGGTGGCAGCGCCGCCGCCGCCGCACAGCCGCTTCCGGTCAGGACGCCGCCCCTCCCGCCGCAGGAGCCCGGACGCGGGCAAGATGGCGGCCGCGGCTGCGCGGCTGGTGACCTGCACCACTGGGCTGGGGCCCAAGACCCCACTACCACGCCGCGGGGACGCGCAGCCGAGCCTCGGCCTTGGAAGGGGAGTTTCCCGCCGCGAGCCCCGCCCTTCCCCGTTCGGGAGGCGCCCCGCCTCGTGGCGGGGTTACTGGCCAGGAGGCCCCGCCTTCCGCAGGCCCCGCCCATGGGTCTGCAGGCCGGATCCCCGGGTTCCTTGGCTGGGACTGCCTCTCAGAACCACCTCTGTCGTTTTCAAGTAAGGTCACACACTCTACGTCACTGGGTCGATTTTAATTTCTATTAAACATATTTTTGCGAACGATGTAGTAGGAGATGAAAGGTATTTGGTTAATGATTTATTCACTCATTTAGTTATTCCACAAACTTGTCTTGAGCACCTGTTATGTTCCCAGCACTATGCCGGAATGCCTAGGAGACAGGAGTGAGGTAAAAAGACACGGTACCGCGTGGAAACAGGCAAGGAGAGCGATGGCTTGGTACGGCTAACACAGTGCTACACGGGAGGGACGCTCGCTCAGTGTCCGGCGTCAGCAAAGCTTCCTTAAGGACCACTAGGCTGAGACGAGAAGGATGAGTATGGGATTAGCCAGGACAGAGAACAGTGCAGTGAGAGCTGAAAGAAAAGAGCCTTCAGGACTGAGGAAGAGCAAGTGCTAGGTAGGAGAAGACATAGCAGTGAGGAGGCAGTAGGTATGGATAAGTGGGCAGAGGAAGCGGGGAGAGACTAAGATGCTGACACAAAGGGTTTGGAAACCAGTTTAGTGAGTTCGGATAGACTTTTTCCTAAAGGCAGTGGTAGAGTCATCGAAAGTTTTTAATCAGGCAAGTGGTATGATCAGTTTTCGTGCAGAGAGCTGGAGAGATGGAATATCAGAATGAGGAATGATGGAAAGGCAGGTTACCAGTGGCATGGAGAGTGGGCATGGAGAGAAGTGGGTGACCTGGGGAATATTTAGAAAGTGGGATGAATAGAGCTTGGTGATTGACCAAGTGAATGACAGTGAAAGAGGATTCCAGGATTTTTGTTACCAAACCTGAGTGAATGGTGCTGCCTCAGGTGTCACACGTCTGAGCCCGAGGCAGTCTTCAGATGTCTGACAGTCTTTGCTTGTCTGTTCATGCTTAAACGTGGGTGGTCTTGGGCTTTTGGGGGTGATGGCTATAAACAGCATAATGAGCTTTAGTCCTGATGATCTTCATGGCAGTTGGTTTTGGTAAGATGATGAGTTTGGGAAGAGTATTGCCTTTCCAAACCTGCCATTAGAAGAGTGTAGGCTGAAGAAAGTGCTACATTACCGAGGGGAGACATGGCAGTATTTGTCACTTCAAACGCCATCTTGCCAATCTTTTCAATGGTTTTGGCCCTGGCCTCAAACTCCCACAAAACCTCAGATCAATACAAATCTTTTCCTTATTCACTCCTATTATACATAGTTGAGGACAACTTTTCTGTTTGCACTCAGGAGCTGACACTGCCTCCTACTTCAGAAAGAAAAACCTGTTACGTAGAATTTCCACAGCCTCCCACTACTTCCTCCTTCCCTTCTCCAACATCTTGATTCTCTCCCATTCTTATCTTCTTTTAGGTAACAAAAAGTAAAAGGAGGAACCCTGTATATTTCTCCTCTTCTGAGACTTTGCACCATCAATTGCTCCACTTCCAAGTATCTTAGCTTCTCCATTTCTACTGGCTCTCAACACATACTCAAGTCATTCCAATTTTCTCTTCAAAGCAGAGGACCATATTTGCTTTCTGTAATTCCATGTCCTCCTGTCTCCCTTGAATTCACTCCATTCAGTCCTTCCTGCCCAGCATGCCACCAAAACTGCCACTTGTCAAGGTCACATATGACCTCCATGCTGCCAGTTTCAAAGGCCAAAGCTTCACCCTTGCAACTTTTGTTTTTCTTGTCTAGTTCCTCTCTCATGAAATATCTCATTCACTTGGTTTCATATCATCACTTTCTTCTGGTTTGTCTTTTGTCTCTGTGACTTCACTGTCCCTTAAACATCACAAGTATGCTCTTGCCTCAGAGCTTCTTCACTAGCTATTCCCTCTGCCTGGAATGCAGAAATCTACATGACTCATACTCTCCCTTCACTCAGGACTCTACTCACTTGTCACTGACTACCTATAAATTAGCTCCTTTGTTACTGTCTTCATGATATTTACCACAACTTCACATATGTTGCCATCTCTTTACTTTCCTATAGTTGTCTACTTCTAGACTGTGTCTTCTCCTTATCCCCAGTTTTCATTGTTTTTTTTTTGTTTTGTTTTGTTTTTTCTTTTTAGTAAGAAGAAATAACTCTACATTCAAATTTGAGCAGGGCATTTGGTGACCCACTTAGACGTGACATTCCTTGGCCTCCCTTTCAGCCAGGTAAGGCTACATAAAAAAGTTATAGATGTGAGTAGAACTGGATCATGTCCCTTAAAATGAAAGCTCCTTGATATACACTTTCTCTTCCCTCTTCCTGCTGTCTGGCAAATGGCAAAAAGAGATACAGACTGGAAATGGAAGCCATGTATTAACGAAGGCAAAGCTGTTCACACTAGCCTAAGTCCCAAACTAATCTCAGGGAGCTGGGGCATCTTCTCCCTTGGATCAATCACAGACTTCTGGACCATTATGTAAGAGAAAATAAACTTTGTTCTTTAAAAAATCATTGTTTGTTTGGCCCTGTTAGAGCAGCTTAGCTAATTCCCTAACTAAAACAGAGGAGATCTGTCTACTTTATTTTCTGCTTAATCCCCAGGATGAGTACCTGGTCAATAAAAATTTGTTGAATAAATCCTAAATCAACATCTTTCTCTAGTCTACATCCCCCTCCAGCTAATGTTCTTGTTTCAACTTCCTTTTCCACTCAAACTTTGTGAAAGTATATATTTTTTCATATTGCCACCAGTTCCTCTAAAGCCCCTAACAGGAATAAGTGACACTATTCTCAATCTTTTTGGAAACTGATTCCCCTTCTCCACTAAAGCAATATCCTTGTGGGTAGCAATATTTTAGTGTAGAACTTTGAATTTTCTTGAGCACCTGTTGCATAGGTATCCAAAAAACATTTAGTGGGCTGGGTGAGTGCTTTGTATCTTTTGGAAACAGTAAACCGTAGCAGGGAACTTGACAGACTGCTCTGAGATGACACTAGTTGCCTTTACTAAACATGTGTTTTACAGTAGATCCTAAAGCTGCTGTATTTCAGTCTCAGTATTTTGTTTTAAATTTAAACTTTTGTATCCCTAATGGGTTGTTTGTTTTTTTTTTTTTTTTTTTTTTTTTTTTTTTGAGATGGAGATTCTCTCTGTCGCCTAGGCTGGATTGCAGTGATGCAGTCTCGACTCACTGCAACCTCTGCCTCCCGAGTTCAAGTAATTCTACTGCCTTAGCCTCCCAAGTAACTGGGATTATAGGCATGTGCCACCACGCCCAGCTACTTTTTGTATTTTCAGTAGAGACAGTGTTTTACCTTGTTGGCCAGGCTGGTCTCAAACTCCTGACCTCTAGTCATCCGCCTGCCTTAGCCTCCCAAAGTGTTGAGATTACAGGAAGGAGCCACCGCACCTGGCCAGGATGTTCTTTTTAAGCTTCTTCATTTATGTTGTAGTTATCAGGACAGGATTTTTGTTACAGTTTTAAAACAAAAAGGATAGTAGTTGAAGGACAGCCAATTTATTCCTTATTTACAGCTGCTCCTGGCAGCAATTCAGTTACTACAGTACTGGAACATTTTGCGGAGTCTGTGACTGGCTAATCCCAATTCTTTTTATTTCCACATGAACAAAATCACTCTGTACCTGAGAGCAAGTTTCACTTTTAGATGGAGGCTGAGGAGGTATCAAGCTGAAATGAAGGCGTTGTAAACATGTGCCATGGCTTAGGAAATCTTTTCACAAAGGTTGAATATCAGAAGATCTGGGATATCTTAAAATAGTGGCTTTCAAAATGTTTTCTAGCATATACCCAAATAAATTTCTAAAATCAGTACACTTCTTCATAAATTTTGGGATTAACATTGTCAAAATAAATTTACATAGTTGTCAAGTATATGATTTCTAATATTTTTTAAATCTTTAAATTGTAAACAAAACAGGGCTAGGTGTGGTGGCTCATGCTTATAATCCCAGCACTTTAGGAGGCTGAGGCTGGTGGGTCACCTGAGGTCAGAAGTTCAAGACTAGCCTGACCAACATGGTGAAACCACATCTCTATTAAAAAATACAAGCAAAATATTAGCAAGGCATGGCGGTACACACTTGTAGTCCCAGCTACTCAGGAGGCAGGAAACTCACTTGAACCCGGGAGGCGGAGATTGCAGTGAGCCAAGACTGTGATACTGTACTCCAGCCTAGGCAACAGAGAGACACCCTGTCTCAAAAAAACAAAAAAGGTTTGGAAAAATTTGACAAAGCATATCTTGTGAATTCAGATTTACTTCAGTACCAAGAATTATGTTTAAATAGGACAAAGAAGATTTTTTTTTTAAACTTTTAAGTTCATGGGTACATGTGCAGGTTTGCTATATATGTAAACCTGTTATGGGGGTTTGTTGTACAGATTATTTAGTTACCCAGGGATTAAGCCTAGTTCCTGTTAGTTATTTTTCCTGATTCTTTTCCTCCTCCCCTCCACTCCTGGTAGGCCCCAATGTCTGTTGTTTCCCTCTATGTGTCCATGTGTTCTCATCTTTTAGCTTCCACTTATAAATGAGAACATGCAATATTTTGTTTTTTGTTCCTGCATTAGTTTGCTAAGGATAATGACCTCCAGGTCCATCCATGTTCCTGCAAAGGACATGATCTCATTCATTTTTATGGCTGCATAGTATTCCACGGTGTATATTTAGCACATTTC